AAGTCGTTCCAAGACCAAGGCACCCTTCAAGAGCCACTTCACGACTTGTGGTCATGACCACAGATCGTGGGAAGGCTAGTGGGGTGGCCTTGCCTTGATGGGAAGTGGTGCATGTTGAGGAGGCTACTACCTCAAATGACCACGGGCACCACCACGACCAGTGGTGCCCTAGATGGTCCGTCAAGAAAGGTGTGGAGGTGACTTAGCTTCATGGGAGGCAAGGCAACTTTGCCGAGCAAATGCCCCCAAGTTCACGAGCTTCACCACGACTCGTGGTGTCAACCACGGATCGTGGGAGCTTCCGTGGACTTGCCTTGGCATTGTAGGGATTGGCAAGCTTGGGAGGCATAGTGCCTCAAGGACCACGGGCACCACCACGAGCCGTGGTGCCCCTCACGACCCGTTCAAGTGGGCGTGGTGCCTGACGGGGCTGCCTCATTTAAGGGCCTTTGGGTAGTTTTGTTTTAATGTTTTAAAGTGTGGGGTTGATTTTAAATGTTTTATATCATTAATTAAAAGGGTTTTAAGTCCTAAACCACTTCATTCACCCCATTATTCACAAGCACCCAATTCAAAACCCTTCTATCCTAAAGTTCTCTCTCTAGAACACAATTGAAGGTCAAGGTGAAGCTTCAAGCTAGGGTTGAAGGTTTCAAGTGATTTATTCTTCAATTTCGAGGGTATTTCATCTCTTAGGATGGTGATCCTTTATCCTTGATTCCTCTTACTTTCAAGGAGTCCAATCAAAGTGTTTTCAAAGCTTTTCTAAAGACTCAAAAACCCTATTTAGAATTCTAAGCATGGGTTCTTGCATTAAATGATTTCAATTGAAGTTTTATGATGTTATTAATGTTAATTGATGGTTTTATGAAGAAAAATTCCATGAACCCATGGATTCCTCAATTTTCTAAATTTGGATATAAAGTGGGTTTGTTGATCTTGATCTAATGATGATGAAATTAAGTTTAGATTGATGTGGGCAGTTGATTAATGTCATTATCTATACCTAATTGTTAAGAGTTGTTGGTGAATTGAGTAATTGGGATTATTGTCTTGAAGGGTCAAATTGTGACCTAATCTTATGTTGATTATAGAATTGCTCATAAATTGTTGATCCACTTGAAAGTGTGGAGGTGTTTACTTTATATATACATTGTGATCATGGCCTTGAAGGCATTATTTGGATAATTGTAATATTGTTATGATGTTGTGATGTGAAGGTTATTCTTGTGATTTCAATTGTGGATTGATGATCTTATAAATAATTATTGATGTGTTGTGATTGAAAGTATATACTCTTTTAACACTTATGAATGTTTTTGATATAATGTGAAGAGCTTCTATCATGTAATGTCGTGTCTTGAAGTGGTAGACTTAGGTTTCATCTTCTTGATGTACGAAAGCTATGATGATATGAAATGATAGGCTTAATGCATTCTCTTCATAAATGATGTAATGTGATGAAGACTCTACAATCGATAGGCTAGTGGCATTCCTTTCTTGAGTATGAGCATGTAATGAAGGGTCATGAATCGATAGGCTAGTTGCATTCTTTTCATGTGGACCCTAGAGCTATCCTTAATAAACCTCGATTGGTGGACCTAATGTTGGTGCCCTTCTTGGTAAGAGTACTATGGGTCGGCTAGACCTAATGATGGTGCCCTCTCTAGTACATTCATGTGAATGAAACTAATCTATGGGAATGTAGGCTAAGCACCGAGTGGATATGGTTAGGTGGAAACTCTCCCAATGAAGAGGCTAGAGTTCCAAGTAACATCTTCCTATCCTGGAACTATGTGCCCACATAGGATATTAGCTAGCAGATGCCATCCATACTAAGGAAACATATCCGAGCTAATATTATTGTTCTACCTTAGGCAAGTGGAACACCTCTTTATGGTGTGGGGCTATATGACACCGGATTTCATGTCTAGCTTGCATGGTCTATGTCGGTTAAACGCTTATTCCCATCTAGTGAGATGTGCACTCTAGTCACTTGATAGGTACTACAAAGTGTAGGTAGTAGTATGGGATGCTATATATACATTGCACGAGTAGGCTTTGAAGGTACTTTAGTGAGTTCTCTAAGCCTTCATGGCTATTCAATGAAGTCCTCTAAATGAGTAAATGTGTCCTCTAATTGTATCTAATGATGAATGTTGACTTATTTGTCTAAAAGAAAGGTTGAATGAGTTGCTTAGCATGTTCTATTAAAATGTAAAGGTTCTTGTCTATTGTAGCTTTAAGGAACACCTAGGTGTGGTGTGAAAAGGTAGGATGGGCTGCCCCTCCATGTCTTACTTAGGCGTGTCTTAGGGTAACTTTAGATAGAGTTCCTAAGATAATGAAATGACTTACTTAATGAAGTTGTTTATATGTCTTATGTGGTCTACTGCATATAGGTTGAAAGGATGAATGGTAAGTTCACTTTTTGTGACCTTAAGGTGGTGCCTTGGTGTGGGTGGTGGTATGGGACATTACCCATACATTGCACAAAGGCATGGCTTGAAGGGTACTCGAGGTGAAAGTTCAAGGTAAAGGTAAAGAGTATATGTGATTTTGATGAAATGTGACCTATGTGACTTTGTATGCTAATTGTGACTTGTAATATGCCTATTGTACCAATGTTCATAAGATTTTACTAAAATGGCATAAAAAGCATGACCTTCAACTAAATGTCCTTTTATCATGTTTTTGCATGCTCATCATACTTAGTACTTAATTGTGCTAACCCATTCTTCCATGTTTTACTACAAGTGTAGGTGGTGGTAACTAGGAGGATCTCTAACTTTGGAGTTGCTTGGATTGCTATATTCTTCCAAGTAGTGGTATGTCCTCATGATTCGAGGACACATGCTTTTAGAAGTTTCTTTTGGTTCATGTAATAGACTATTAGTATTCATTTCGATTGTAAAGGGGTGTGTCCCTATTATGTTTCAAGTTTGTGTCTAAGATGTCTAAAGAGACTTAGTATTACGCTTGTGTATTTTTGAAAGATGTTTTAATATGACCTTTGAGTCTTATGGATTTTTGTGTAAAGTTTTTAATTCCTTACGATTTTTATGACTAATGCGATGAATGAATGCTATGAGGCTTGTATTAGACCTTCGAGAGGTCGAGTACGCCGTGTTACGACTAGGGGGTGCTCTCGGGTCGTGACATGGAAAAGGTAAGAAGAGAACTGATAAAGATAGAAAAGGGGCTGAGTTCCTCAACAGGCATAGAGTTAACAGAGACACTAAAATTGCTAGGACTAAATGGGATAACATGTTGGGTGAATTCAAAGAAGTCAATGAATGGGAGAGAGTCGTTGAGAGGGAACAAATTGGAAAGAGTTATTTTAGACTTTCCCCTTATGAAAAAAAGATTCATAAATTTGATGAAGAAGTGTTTGACGAATTCCCCAAACTCAGCTTCTACCACGAAGCTCTTAGTTTTTCCATGAATCCAAAAAAAAAAAAACCCACCAAAATACTCCAAAAAAAAAGAATGGGTTTCACTTGAAAATAGAAATAAGCAAACAAAAAAAGTCAAATTCCCAAATTCCTAAAAAACAGAGGAGTTAAAAGGGGTACTTACAGAAATATGCATAATGCGTTCCATAATAAGCGGAGAAGTTTCAAATAATGCAAAAGAAAAACGATTGTCGGAAACAATGGCGGATCATCTAACTCGGCGGCAATATCCTCCGGTATAGTATCACTACCACTCCCAATATAAGAAGGGGCTGCAGAAAAAAGTGATTTAGATAAAACTTGAGGAGGAGCTAAAGCTTTAGAGATTTCAAAAGCAGAGAGACTCAAGAACGAGATAGAAATTTCATGGGTTCTTTTGGTGTCTCCGGCGGCGGTGGCCGGTACATTGATTGAAATTGGTCCATTGTTTATTTGTGGGTTAAATGGATTATGGGCGGGTTTTGGAAATTCGGGTTAAATAATTGGTCAATCCAGGTTGTGTCTTAGAATTGTGCCACGTGTACAAAATGAATGTTCCGTTAGTGGGAGGGGCAAATGTGCACTGATTATTGGACGGCAAGGGCTTTGATGGACGTAAAGTACGACGGAGGGTATTGACATACCATTTTCAAAAGTTCGGGGTATATTTGTCCTTTTCCCCTATATTTAAACAACAAAATTTCATTTTTGTTAGGGCTCGTTTGGCCATGCGATATGGTATCATGATATGGAATCATGATATGGTATCATAATATGGAATCATGAGATGAAATTGAAGTTTTGTTTGGACAAGCGATATGCAATTTTTGTGTTGTATATTTTCTCATAAACATAAAAATCTCATAAGTTGTAAAACTATTAAAACAGCCCCAATTGTTTATTCAATCTTATCAAATAACAAAAATTCATAAAATCGCATAATAAATTATTACAAAGCTATTTGTTTTCCACTTAAGTAATTATTTTATCTAACTTTAATTTAATTAAAAAAAATTGAACATAAATTATAGTGTACTAGTCTTTAATATAATCCTCCCACATAATACGAATAATTTTCTCACGTTGAACTTGCATTTATCAATCATGTGACCGAGAAGACGAACCAACATTGTTATTTTGAGCCATATTTTTATGCTCATATACTATAAATATTTCATCACTTTAACAATCGGTTGGTGTGAGCTAAAGTGACTATATGTTGACGAGATTAATAAATTTTATATCGGTGAAAATAATAAATTTTAAAAGGTAATAATGTGATTATAAATTTTATCTACATATGAAATAAATGGTTAGTAGATATAAATGTAGGATTGTTTTAACAAAATATAAACTTGTGGATCAATTTTTGTATTAAAAATATCTCAAATCATGATATGAATATGATTTTTGGAGAATATGGAATCAAATTTCATGATATGAAATCATGAAATGAAATCGACGTAAAATTCCAAATGCTGATTTCATCTCACGATATCATATGGCCAAACGCTACTTACTCTAACATTTTTCTTTGCAGACACTCTAAAACCCTAACCCAAACCCCTAGATATCCCAAGAATGTAAATCAATCTCTTCTCTAAACGGTTTTCAATAATATCATAATTTTTCCCAGTTTTATTTGCTGATTTTGTTTTGCTTGGATCTGTACTTTTCAGTTATAGTAGTAGTCAATAATGGAAGACACAAAGGAGAACGATGCTTACGAGGAGGAGCTTCTTGACTACGAAGAAGATGATGAAAAAGCCCCTGATTCCATCTCCGGCAAAATTAATGGCGAGTCCGCCAAGAAGTGAGCTTTACTCTTCACTTCTACATTTCTGTTGCGTTGTTTGTGCGTGTTTTTTTTAAAAACAAATGTACTATTTTTGGCGTTCGTAATCACACTGTATAATGATTTCATCAGTTCTGATTTTTTTGGCTAGTAGTGCTTATGTCATCTTGATCATTTTTCTTCTTTTTTTCTTTTCACTCTTAGAATTTGTGGTCTATGGAATGAATTGGGTCCAAATGTATCTTAATATGTTAGTATTTTACATAGCTGACCAGTTAGTTTGGCATTGAAGTGTAGTATTAATTGTAGTAGTGCAGCTATTGTAATTACACACTAAGTTTGAAATGCTTTATTTTTCTCAATGCAGGGGTTACGTTGGCATTCACAGTTCCGGATTCAGAGACTTTCTGCTAAAGCCAGAGCTATTGCGGGCTATTGTGGATTCAGGGTTTGAGCATCCTTCTGAAGGTAGGCCATCTCATTTATGGGCACTTGATTTCACAGAAAATCTTTTTATTTAGTTTGTTAGTTGGATTTTTAATTTGAGTACTTCTGTGCTTAAACTTCACCCTCCCCAGAACCCACGTGTGGGATTACGTTGGCTATGTTGCTGTTGTTGTGCTGCTTGTGGAAAAAAATTCGTCCTCCTGTTGCCTTCTTTACTCTAAAAGGATATGTAAAAAGAAATACAAGTAGATATATATGCTATCACTTGCAGCTTGCAGGGAGCTGTGATTGGTGCTTATGAATATAGCCGAAGTAGGCTCTTCTAGAAAAGAAAGATGATGGTATTGCTTATCATACAATGAACTAGCATGCCTATATGTCAAGATGAGTTGACAAGAGCAAGAAAGTTCAGAAAAGTTGCTCTAGCAATGGAGAAACCAACTAAATGACTCTTTCTTCATATAGATCTAACAAGCCAACCTTCTGTAAGATAGACAAATGGAAGTGTTTGAGTTATAAAGTTCATCTTTTATGCTTAGTTTCCTTTGTCCCTGAATAATCTAACTTTGCCCTAATGTATGAGCAAAGACTATGATACATTGTATCATTTGAATTCTTTGCTTTCTGTCAATTCCTTAAATTTAAAATTTAATATTTGGAGACTCTTTGGCTGATAATCCCTCCTTTCCAAATGTCATAAAATGGTGCAGCCATTGCTATTCTTAGTTTTACTGATAGTAATGTTGCCTTTCATGTGCCTTAGATTTGGATGTTAAGGTAACTCTGGTGAAAGGTACTTGTTTTGAGTTAGTTTTGTTTCTGAGAATGATCATTATATAAGTATTAATGAATTCGCTAGCGTCAGCTGGAATAAGTCTGATCGTTCATCGTTCTCATTTACCAAGATTTACCAAGTTGAAGGGTACTTATTTATGACAACTAGTCTGGTTGCATCCAAAACAAAAAATAGAATACAATTAAGTTTGATCTGTACTGTATTGCTACTATGCTCGAAATATCTGGAATTCCTTTGTCTCCAAATTGTCCACCAAATGCAAGAAGGGCCATCCTCCATCTGTCTTTGTCACCTACTCTAGCTCCAACTACTTCCTAACTAAAAAAAGCTTCAGTAATCTTTCTGGGTATTGTCCAAGCTATGCTGCTGAGATTAATAAATATCTTCCATAACTGATCAGTTATCCTACAATGTGAATCTGTCTCCACCTCCTTCCCAAATAAATAAGCATCTTGAGCAGAGAGGAAACTTCTTGACTAAATTATCATGTGTGAGCACAACTTCGTTTTCCCACTAACCATGTGAAGCATGCAAATTTGTAGGGACTTTAGGGCCTGTTTGGATGGGCTTATAGCTTATAAGCAACAAGCCATATGATAGAAATCCTAACTTATGACTTTTGACTTATTTTTGGCTTAAAAGCTAGTGTTTAAAAACATTTTTTAATTTTATCCAAACACTACAAAAGTGCTTAAAAGCTATTTTGACCTAAAAACACCTAAAATAAGCCAATCCAAGTAGGCTCTTAGTCGTCCAAGTATTGTTTCAAGGCCAGTTTGTTACTTGAGGCCATGTTGATTTATCATTTTATATGCTGCATTAACTCTGAATTTTCCACTGTTGTGTCCTTGTCAGCTCAGTGTGTCATTTCCATTGTGAATTCTTATGAAGTTCTCCAACTGTTTGTAGAACTCAATGATTCTGTTCATCTCCGAATCGTTCAAGCATCTTTTAAGTATCAGTTCCAAACCTTGAGGGGACCACATTTCAGCTATAGACTCTGTGGTGTTGAGCTAGAGAAAATATATCAGGAAATAGATCCTTCAAAGCTCTATTCCCCAACCAACTAAAAGGATGTCCTGCCATCATTTTGAAACGTAATTCTTTAAAGAAGGCCATAATACCCCCATAGACATCCAAAGGCTAACACCATAAGTTGAGTTAAATGGTTTAGTCATCTAGTTGTCTTCTATTTCATATTTAGCTTTGATCATCTTGCTCCATAATCTTTGAGGGTCTTGAGAGTACTTCATAACCATTTCAATTTAAGGTCTTTACTGTGTTTTTTCAAGTTTCTATTTCCCCATGCATCTTGAGCCTTGTTGAGAATTACATCTTAACACTTGACCCGATGATAAACCTTTTTTTCGTTATTGCCTTACTACAAAATAATTCCTTCTAATGTTGTCAAATCTTTTGGCGACTCCCATAGGGATGGGAAAGGGGATATCATATAAGTTGGCAGTGAGTCTAGTACTGAATTTACGGAAAAGGACCTAAAATACCCTTAAACTATTGAAAATGGTACAAAATTACTTCCCTTCACCCATTGGCCCCGAAATACCCCTGACATATACCTTTAGGTCCTATATTGCCCTTATTTTTAACAGACTTCAATTTAAACCTAATTAATAAATTAACTAACGACGTGTCACTCATTTATTAGTCAGCCTGTAATTAACCTAAATTGATTTAAAAACCAAACCATTCCCAAATTAAATTGACCCGCCCCAAATCAAATTTCAATTAAAAAATCTCCACCCTTCACGACCATGGCTTCCCTGCACCGGTCACCGTCGTCTGACAGTGAAATGAGAATTTAACAATTCCGGTTGAAGTAGTGATGAGCCAAAATTATGCTTGATTTCTACATGTGTTTGTATGTTGTGGATTTAGTTTGTATAAGTTTTTATTGTATTAACTTGTTAATGGTGTTTATTCCTTTTCTTTTTGTGAATTTCCATGTTATTGGGGCAGTGTTGGAGTTTGAACAGAATACAATCAATCCAAAGTTGTTACCTTTTTCCTCCCTGCAATTTTCAATGTGAATCAAGTGAATCTTCTAAGGTTACATGAAGGAATTGATGCTTTGAGATTATGTTACCTCTTCGGTTCATTTTCTCATTTGCATATAATACTAACAAGTTGAAAAGCTTAAGGATTTGTGCTTCAAGCAAAGGGAAGAGATAAAGCACTTAATAATTCCATGTTCACAAATGTTATGAATATTCAAATTTTTTGGAAAAACCGGTTTAGAACTCAAACAAGCATGGGCTGATGGTTTAAAATTTTTTGGGACAGTTCTATTTGATTTGGGGTGGGTCGATTTGATTTGGAAATTGGTGGATTTTAAAATTAGTTTAAATTAATTATCGGTTTACCAATAGATGAGCACCCCGTCATTAATTAATGGGCAAACTACATAAATCTCACTAGTTTAGGTTCTAATTACTAAGATTCCCGATAGTTTCAATATTACTTCCTCTACCATATTTCGTGTTTAGGATAAATGAGTCTGAATCCGCAAGATACATGTATCTGTCGAATTTTAAAAGCGAGATACATATTTATTTGCTTAAATTATTAATTGTAACTGATTTCCTTAATTGAAGAAGTAATTTAGGATTTTCAGAATACATGGACAATTAATTTTGGAAATTTGAATTAATCAAATCCCTTAATATAAGGCAGAAATCAAGAAGTGTATCTATGTTTAATTAATTTCATTTTATTATTTTTTGAAATAATATATTCATAAATAGTATTAATAAAAGACAAAAACATGTATATCTTGGTCATGTAATTTGATTAGTTTCTTTTTATTACTCTTAAAATAATAAATTCATTAATTTGATGTATCTATTATCGATATATGATGTATCCAACAAACTGAATACACTTGGATACATGAGTATCATACAAGTACATTCATATGTATCATAGAAATATCTAGTATTAATTTCATGTATTTGTTATGTGTATCTAGTACTAATTTCATGTATCTATTTATATGATCTAATACTAATTTCATGTATCTTATATATATATATATATATATATATAGTGTATTAAGATTTAGTGTATCAAGTATCTATTTCATGCGTTATATCCAAAAACGTGCATCTCAAATACATAGTAAGCATATACGTCTAATTATGTGTACCTAAATATGGAATGTAACTGAAATGCATGAATTTAGGAACAAATCAAGATTGTAGAGTAACTGTCGTATCATTAATAAAAAAAAGTAAAAAATTTCAAAATTCTTTCCTTTTCTTTAGCATATGAATTTTTTTCTCATAGATATATATAATCTTAAGTCAGATACATAACTTTTAATTAGATACATGTATTTTCAAATACATATTTTGACCACCATCTCTCCTCTTTTCTTTTTCGTCTCTATCATCTCCGGTGATGGCATGGTGTTGGCGTTGACGGACTATGGTCATGTATCTAATACATGACAGAACAAATTCACAAACAAAAATAGTTTACTTTTTCAACAAAAATATTGCTCGTAGTGCCTTGATCTATGGACCTCCGCCAGAGCCATCGAAAATTCCACTTTTTTGTCCCAATCAATAGTAACAAACCTCTACATATATTGCTGATGAACAAGAATCGTTTTGAATAGTTGGACGATGAAATCGTGTGTTGAGAGGAACAACAAGAGAAGTGCAGAAACATGGTGAAATTCCTAAGTCAAACAAAGGCGTAGTGGTTCTCCAAGGAAGGTACACCAGGAGGAAAATGGTGATTGTTTGAGCTTTTGTCGATGGGGCATATGACAGGCCATGCGGATATTGTTTGGTTGCCGGCGTAGTCAAGTACTCAAAGAAAGTGATCCGTAAGGACTCCGCAAAAAAGCAGGCGAATAAATAATGCCAAGTCTTTCATCAAGCTTGTCAATTACAACCCAAAAAAAAAGATGAGGAAGAGAGAATACGGTGGAGGTGATGGAGAACATATGGGGGTGGGGGTGAGAGATATAGACGGTAATGGGATTGAGGGAGGAAACGACTGATGTGAGAGAATAAGATTGTTTGTTTATTTATCGACGAAGAAACAAAAAGAGAAAATCGGGTTCGAATTAGAGATGAAGAAGATGAAGAATACTAGATAGATGGATTCAGATTTTTAATTTGGTATGAATTCATTTGGTTTAATTTAGTGTGTTGGGTTTGAATTAAAAGAGAAAGTCGAGTCATTTGAATCGAAATTA